GGGATCTTTGAACTTGTTTCACTTCTGTGCTTGGAATGAATCTGGTCACGTATATTAAGATTACCTAATGTTTGGTACTTATGATTGCAACATTGCTGGTGGCCGAGGATGAATGGCCCGATGTGTGGCTTCTTAGCTGCTTTGCACACTGTTGTGTGCTGCCCATCCGTCCTGTGTCCCCTGCTGCCAAAACAAGGCCCCAGCAATGACTGTCCCTCCAGCGATGATGCTCTGAACTTTTAAGAGCAAAATAATCGGGCTCAGTAAAATGATTCCTGAGCTACTAGCCTTGGTTATGACACTTGCTTCGGTGGTTTTGGAGCAGTGGGTTTGGGCTGGAATGGGTACAGAAAAGCTTCTTTGAATGAAATTAGTGAAGACAGTATTGCACTGCTGATTTCACCCCTCCCTGCACCCCCCTTGCTTCCTAGGGACTGGTCTGCTGCCTTTCCTGCTAGTTGGCAAAGGTGGATATGGGATCAGTTTTAAAGCACTTTGCCAGCTGCAAAGGTGCCTTAAACCTTTATTTTTTTCATAGTCAGAAATATGGTTGTTTTAAAACCTAATCCTCTGAGCAGCAATTGTAACCAGTATCTGGGTGCAGGGTGGTGGGTGGCTGCTGGGTGGAGGTGGCTTGTCCCGGAGAGGAGAACTTGGGACCTCTTAGCGGGTAGAGTTGGCCAAGCGGAGTGAAAAAAAAGTTGTTTTTCTCCAAGTTGGCAACTTTACGCTACTGCTTGCAGATATAAATGAACTTTGTCTTTTGAAGACTTCTGTGAGGCAAGTGCTTTGAAATGTGTATAAAGGAATGCTTGTACGGTTATCTGCTTGGGAGAGTTACGCAGTTACATTAGCTTCGAGCTGCCCTGTCACATAAGGGGGGGAGCACAAAGCACCTATTTAGAGATTATAAAATTTGTGCTGAACATGGGTGGTACAAAACCACTACCCCAGCATCTTTCTCTTTGGCAAATAAGATGGTTTTTACAGTGCTGTCAGCTAGCGGGGCTTTGTTTGCCAGCTCTCATTAACAAATGTTGTTGTGCCGCCTTATCACAAGGTTGTTTCTTGGTGGGAATGTTTCAGGTATTCCTGATGCAGAGAAGGAAAACCCGGAGCTTGGAAATGCCTGATCTGAAAACATTATGTGGCTCCAGGATCTGGTATCTTTCCAAAAACGAGAACTTGGTACACGTTGGGCTTTTGTTCAGCAGACTTGATGGCAGTCGCGTAATCTGCTGGTCAGCACTTCCTAGTGCTGGTTCTTTCGGAAACATAGAACAACAACTTTGAACTAGTATGAAAACAGGATTGTTTTTTAAGGCTATAAAAGGCATCCATCTTGTTCTTTTTGGCACAGTTTTTTTGGTCATTTGTAGTCAATGCTCCGAGTCCCTGAAAATCTGAAACTATCCCATGTAAACAACTTTCTTCCACAAACACTAGCTGTGGCTTTGTTCCCCGAGCTGCTTCTTACTGGAAAACTGCAGGGGACCTGGCTTCTTACTTTCCTCCCCTATAGGCAAAGCATGGAAAAATTTCTTGCACTGCTAGCCCCTGTTGCAGAATTAGGTGCAACATGAAAGTGGTATTTCTGCCTTAACAGAATTTGCTAAATTGCAAAAAAAAAAAAGAGCCGTTTGAGTTAGGTGCAATTGCATGTAAATATTTTCAACCTCCAAATATTGCAGCAGCATGTATTTTCCCTCTCTGCCATGCACAATTGCTCACTGTGTAGAATGGCAGATTACATAGATGGCCGTAATTACGAAAATATGTAACACTATTTCTAAAATGTCACTTGCAGTTGCTTGAAATTTTGGCAAACTTGTTTTTTGCTTGTTCTTTATGATTAAAATCTGTAACGGGCAAAACTTACTGGAAAACCTGGAGGAAAAGGGTGAAACAGAGTGACTGCTGGGGAATTAACTCTGTCGTGACTCTTCTGACCATTTAAGTATCTCTGGTGCCTTGTTGTAAATTTGGATTACAAATTACTGGCAATGGAGTCAATTTTGTTCCTGTCCCCATGCTTCAAGTGGTGGGGTTAAATATTCATGAAGCATTTCTCTAAGCTTAAAATCCCCAGTCTAATTTTTTACTAAAAATCAACCCAATTGCATAGCTAGCAAGCAGGGTTCCTAAAATCTGAAGCTGTTTACACGTGCGTGGACACCAGCGTTTTTTCAGCGTTAACTTTCGTCATCTGTGTGTGCCACTCCATAGCTTCCTGCAGCATCCAGACGTCTCGCAAACTTTCTCACTAGAGCATCTTTGCCCAGGGAAAAGTGCATCAAGTTAACCCACGGGGCAGAGTAAAAATGATGCTGCTGCCACTGCCGGCTCCTGGATACTCCTGTGGGCTTCACAGCCCCTTGGGCACCGGGTCTTTTATGTAGACAGGGTTGATTGGCTTAAATCAGATTTAAGTCAGGAGGTGGGAAATCATGGTTTAAAGAATCAATTTAAATTTTGTTCTGTAGTTTTATGCTTATCTTCAGGAAAATTGTTAATAATTAAAATGTTTGCAGTTACGTTTAGTCAATAATTCCTAAATGTGTTTCAGCCTTTTGGGTTGCTCTGAGTACACTTACGCATATGCTTCACTTGAGACAGTTCTAAACTTTTCTTAAAAAGTAAATAATTGACTTGTATAGTTGTGTAGTTAATACATTTCCAGTTTTGTCCAAAGATGCCCAAAACCCACATGATACGCATTTCTCCAGCAGTCCAGAGAATATGTAACAAACATACTTTGACTTTTGTATTTGTCATCTTGCTGTTAAAACAAGTTCTGGTATCTCTTTTGAGAACTCTTTCTGGTCATTCATTAGAGCTTCGCAGGGATCAGCCCTCTGCCTCTGGCACCTTATCTTTGGCAAGAGAATGCAAACACGCCGTTCTTCTTTTTAACTCCCAGTTTGAGCTGATTCGGTGGCTGAACTGAGACGGCTGTCGGTGCAAATGCAGACGGGATCCTGCACCTGCAGCACAACCCGCTGCTCCGGCTGCCTCGGCTCTCCCCTCTTCTGGGGTTTGGCCGAACCCATGTTCCCGGTTAAGCTTCCCGCAGACGAGGGCTGGGTATCGCCATGCTGGTCCTTTCCTAGAGCAGGATACAGAAATCTCGTTCCTTACTTTGACAGTTTTGAAAATAGCATTATTGCGTGCTCCTTCTTGGTGTCCACTTAAAGGAATATCTGTTTTACTTGGTACCGTTGCTTGTGCAGATCAAGGAAGGTGTTTCTGTCCCAAAGAATGGAGCACATCGATCTGAGAGAAAAATGATGCTAATGAGTGTCCAGTTCAGTTTTCTTTAGTAAAGTTCTGGGGAATGGAGAAGGAGCCTGTATCAAAAAAAAAAAAAAAAGAAAGGAAAAAAAAGAAGGGGAAAAATGTCCAGAGACAAGTATTCAAGCTAATTTCAGAAGGTGGTTGTGCAGATTTGGCTGTGCCTCCTTTCACCTGTGAAATGACAATTTCCATGACTCTCTGTACTGGCCCCTGCCCTGTTTCCTTCAGCATTCCCCTGAAGCTGCCAAACTTTTGTTTGATCTTGCAGCCTTAATATTTCTTTAATCTCGTATTGTGCAGGAGTGCGTATATAAATAAAGCAGGGAGGCATTTTACAAGAGATTCATAACCTTCTTGCAAAGGTCTTTTAAACTATAACCTGAGACAGTGGGTCATTGGTGGGGGGGTTGGGTGGAGCAGGATCTTTATTTGTTCCTGTATTTAATCTTTGATGCAAGCTGAGAACAAGTCTTCTTTCATCTTTGCAGATACCAGCTACTGACCATGTCAACAGAGTTCCAGGATGCTCACCTTGCAGAGGTGAAACCTCTGGTGGAGAAGGAGGAGGTAATTATTTTGAAGCTTTCTAGAGCGTATGTGTTTTATTTCAGGGCTGCTGTTGGAACTGCACGTGTGCTCTTAGATTAGTTCTAACATATCGTATGGAAGAAACAAGTAGGAGAAACTGGAGATGGAATAAGAGTGGGTTTTTTTTCTAAATAATGCAAAACTGAGCCTTAATTATTTGCTCTTTCTTGGTCTTTGGTTTTACTCCTCTCTAGTGCTAATCTGGTGGTGACATTTTTTCTTTTCTGAATAACAACAGCTCTGGGTGTCTTTAGCAATTTTGAATGATGCCAATTGGGCGATCTCATGTACATCCATCTATACCTATAGACTTCTCAATGTAAAGATACAAACTTTGCTCTGTCAGCTGCCTTTCAAGGAGGCCTAGAGAGAGCCTTTACTTCTCCTTTGGGCACATCTGAGCCCGGAGGTGCGGCTGTGCCCCATCTGGTCCCCTCTGACTGCACTGAGCTATAAGTTACAGTCAGACTGCTGCCAGGTCTGCAACCGGCTGGGTGTGCGCAAGCCGCAGCCTTTCCTCTGGGGTTGCAGTGTAGAAACATCCTAGATTTTTTTTTGCTTAACCTTGTTGTACTTCTCTCCATTTGTTTTTGCACCATTTTCTTCAAAAATCTGCCCACAGCATCTGGGTTCAGTGGCTGGCTGACTCTTTGGTGGTAGCGATACTCTGTGCTTTGGTATGTTCCCGGCAAATAATTCACTGTAATACGTGAGGGAACCTCTCAGCTTTTTTTCTTGAATCAAAACTAAGATTTTTCTTTTGTTCCCAATGATTGTAATTCTTGACAATGATGTATTTAAATGTGTTGGGTTTTTTTCTGGTTTTCTACACTAGAACTATTCATTGCTCTATCTGCTACTTACTTTTTTATTCCCTACCTCTTTTGCGTAAACACTTCAGAAAATCGTTTCCACTTGTGACTGCAGTGAAATGGCTAGAGAAACTTTAAACACAGCTCCTTTGCCAAGGACACTGCATGAAAGCAGAGCTTGTTTGGATACCAGTGAATGCAGCACTCAAACTTTTCAGAAACTAAGATCCCTTTTTAATGCCAATATTGTTCAGTAGTAGCAAAGCAAAGGAGATACTAAGCAGAAGTCCTATGGGTACTGAAATGCCCTGACTTCAAAGTTCAGAAATATCTTAAAACACTGATTAACTCCCTGGGTTTCTACAGCATGTAGATCAAAAGTTGGAATCTTGACAATGAACCATATATGCTTTTATTCACGATGTTACCTTAAGTTTTGTCTACGTGGGGAAACTAGCACAGAGTTTGATTTCCTCTGTGGCCATTCTTAACATAGATGAAGGAAGTTACTTAATGTATTTTGAGAAAGTGGAGAAGATTGCCCTAAAGGACACTCAGCACGTTCTCAGGTTAACAGTGGAGCTGGTGATGTGCTCTGAAGTCGCATCCTGGCTTGTCGTGCTTAGGTTTCTTCTACAGCTGAGTCTTTGTTCCCGAACAGCGATGAGCCTTATTTCATATGCTGTCTATACAGATGCCACATATACTTATTCCTTTCAACTCTAGACCCCACTGGAACAACAGTGTATGAAGCTAGCTATGTTTAAAAGGTCGTGAGACCAACAGTATAGTAAGATTAAAACCCAGCATATTGCCTAAAGCTAAGACTGTGTAAAATGACTTCCACAAGCTCAGTCAGCTCTTTAGCTGCTTGTTTGTGTGTACAAGACACTGCCTAATTGCCTAAAGATCACAGCTCTAGAGTCCTGTCATAAGTACGGGTTGGACTGCAATGCTTTGAGGTCCACCATTTGAGACAATATTGCCTAAGACAGCAGCTGTATTGCTTCTGACATCTTCTGTCCTTAATTTACCTGGGCTTCTGGGACTGAGTGATCTCCTTGCCAGCATCCTAAGCTTCACTTTTTATCTCAATACTTTTTCCAAGATTTGGCTTCTCTGTTGTACTCTGCAGCCTAAAGAGTGCTCTTCCCTCTGTTTTCAGCCCTCCAATGGAAATACGAGTGTGACTTCTTCTTTGTCTTTTAATAAAAGGAGGTGATTGTAAGACACTTCATCCTGTGAAGTTACAAGCCTCTTAGACTATGGGAGGTGGGGAGGATGTCACCTAACTCCTTCTCTGGTGGAGATCCTCGACAGTAATAGCGGTGGCTGGTGACAGGTTGGAACGGACCTCTCCGTGTCCAGACAGCCTCCCAAACATAACAAGACCTAATTTTGGCTAGGATAAAACCCTTCCCATCTTCCACATTGTGTAACCAAATCCCAGTGATGATCGCTTAACTGAGTTGCAAGTGCTCAGCGCATGCTTGGACAACAGCTTTCCATCCTAGGCAGGACTGAGGTGGGCTGTTGGCTGTCCCAGGGCTACAATAAGCAATGGAGAGAAGTTCAGTGTTTTACTGCTCCGAGTTTTCCAGTAATTTAACTATAACTGAAGATGCACCAGCTTTTGTGCTTTATTTTGCTGGTCTATAATCTAATATTTTACTGCTTTCATGTTCTCCGTGAAGATTAGTGGGTAAAAGCTCTTGGGTGAATCTTGACATTCAGCAAAAGAGCTTTCGTTGAATGAAGGGATGGGACAGAGCTCTCTGCTTCAGAACCGGTGGGTTAGAACACTTGTTCCAGTGCAGATTTCTGTAGCTGCTGAAGTTACCTGCATTAATGCTTTAAAATCTCTTCACAGGCCATCACTCGCCTCCTTCCAGACTTTGATGTTCAGGCAAGTAAAGCTATTCTTTTTTTTTTTTTTTTTGGTAAAAGGGGAAACTGAATTGACATTTGAGAAAACAGGAAAATGTGATCAGAAATGACTGACTGCTCGCCAGAAATACTGTTGCTGTGGTGCTGTGGGAGAAGGCTCTGAATGGGGCTCTGACGTGGCGGCGTGAAGGGGACTGCAGGAGGTCTTTTCAGACCGAAGCTGAGAAAGTTTCATCCAAAAGAGGTGGCTGAGTGGCAAGCAGCTCTATTCTTGCTAAGAGAATGAGATTCTTCAGCAGTGGCAGTGAAAGCAAAATATTCCCCTCCCACATGGACACATACTTTGCGCAATTAATTTGCTTTCATTAACGGTGTGCGTGCGTTTCCTCTGAGGAAGTGTCCCTTTCGATGTATCCCATTATGCCATTGAAAGTTCCCAAAGGATTCGTGGAGCCTGTGGAGCTGTGGAAGGTGCTAAGCAATCAATTTTGCCCCTAACGAGAGTGATGGTAGTTTCTGTGTGTGTATTTACAGCCAGAACATAAGAGTTCCTAAGGCGCACCACTACATCAGGTGGTGGCTTTCCACTTTCCCCATGTGTCATGCTTTTGAGAGGTGACTTTATGGCTCTCTTAGCTCCTCTTGTGTATTATTTTATTGTCATTTGGGCTTCTGACTGAGAAGTTTGTCCTTGCTGGTTCTTAAGCTGAGACTAAGGAGTCAGGCTGGGTTGAACTGGGAGGGAGACCAGCGAGCTTGTACCTGCCCCGACAAAAAGAGTGAGCGGTGACTTCCCATCGCTGAGGACAGGAAGGAGTATGTGTTGGGAAAAGAGGCTCGCCAGGTGTCTTATTTTTATCAAGAGGGTGTAGGGAGGGAGGTAGATTGTGCGGGAATAAGGAAAGCCATTAAATTGTTCTAACCTCTTGAATGTGCAGGCGGAGGCCCTTGGAGGAAATAACCCTTCGGTACATTGTGGCATGTTGTACTTCAGTTGCACCTGTCTATATTTTTATTCAATGCTGTGCAAATTCGTTAAAAATTCAGCACAAACTCAGCAATCTTTTCGCTGGAAATGAAGGGAGACAGTTATCTCAAACATCTTTACCATCTTTCAATGGCTCTTACTTCTGTAGTAAACCTGTAGTTTACATTAATCCTGCATCTTCCCCCTCATCCTTTCTAATGATGAAATCTACTGCCTGAAGTCTTGATGAATGTAAGTTAAAGTTGTCACCATGCAGCTTCCTGCAGGACTGTGCACAGCATGGGAAAAGCTTTCTGTTTGGGTCCAGATTGATCACTTGTTCTAAATAAATCTGAATCCCAGATTAAGTCTGCCAACAGGAATACTGCAGTATTTTGATTAAGAATCCAGAAGTGACCCATATTTCATTTCTATTCTTGGAATAAATTTGCTTGGTTTGTAAACCATGTGTATATATAGATTTTTTTTTTTAACTTGCAAGATCAAATTCTCTAAGCCTTTTTGGGTTTTTTTCTGTGTTTTGGATTAACTGTCGCTAATCCAGACCAGTGATTCTTGTCATTTAGCCCTGTTCTGCCAGCTCTTGCTTTTTAATGATCTTTCTTTCTTTGAGTTTAATCTTCGGTTGTTCTAGTTCAGGAAGGAAAAATGTGGAAGAACAGTCTCAATCCGTTATGTTAAGAACTGCCGCCGCAAAGGAAGCTTAGCTTTGGTCCTTAAAACCCTACCTACGTGTCTTTAAGTTCTTCTGTGGTTGATTTATGAAAAAGGTGCTTTGGAGCTGTTAAGAGAGCCTTGCTTACTTAGTTCATTAGAGAAGTTCATGTGTGGCCCTGGAGGACCCAGGTCACTCGGGACTGACGCTGCAGCTCGTGTGTGCTCTTAATGAGCGACCTGTCCCGTGAGCCACACTTGGGAGGGGGGTGGGCCTGGCCAGGGAAGGAGGTGATCAGCACTGGGCAGGATGGAGCTCCTCACTTAGTGCCTGTGTGTGGATGTGGGTGTCCACCATATCACTTGCAACTTGGTCTGTCCTTTTGAGGACAAGTTATGCAGTGTTCAGTTAATAACTATGTTTCTGCCACTGGTGAAAAAGTAGTGACTGCCTGTGAGGTGTGTTGGTTCCAAGAATAAATTATATCGAGTTATTCAGATTTGGAAAGAGACTGACTCTTATTTCACATGCTGCTTTAGACAGACCTGAGTTAAACATACTTTTCAGTTTTTGAAGTAAGCCACTGTATAGTGCAATATCACCCTTCTGAAAGCACACATTGCAAGACGTGTATGTGGTTATTCTCTGGAGGAAAGCTTTCATGGAGTCACTAGGGCATGGCCAAGACAAGAGATGGAATAACTGACAGCTCTGAACTACCTCTAGTCAGCACTATATGTCTGTCTGTACGTCTGTCTGTGGCACCTACCTGAAAATTTAAGTGAAGGTCCCCTGCCTCCCAAGAAGTGGGGTGTTCCTGACCAAACCTCTTCTAGCACAATTAATGATAAACTGGTGCAGGGCAGTGTGCCCTGTGCTGCTTTATGTTGGCTTAATGCCAAACACATTTTAATTGTATTTCCAGTTTGATGTGTTTGCCTATTCTCTAGCTTGGTAGCATTGGAGCCACTGGAGACCTGGCTCCTCGTCACTGTATATAATTCTCTTAGCTTTGTGTTCCAGTCCATCAGGAGACTGTTTTCTCAATAAATAAGCAAAACTTTCCGAGCTGTGCGGCCGCCGTAGGTGGCAGAGATGAGTTTGTCCCTTGCAATTCGTGGCTCATGGCCATCTATATCCACCGGCATGCAAGGACCATTTCTGCTTTCCCTCCTCCTCCTCCTGCGTGCAGAAGAGAAGGAAAGAGCCGCCTTGCAACGGGAGACAAATCGGCTGGTCCTCATGGCGCGATGGGGTGGGTTTCCCACTGGCATCGGTGGATGAAGTTTGGGGCTTTGCAGCACGGATTTCCTCGTCCTTTTAGCTCTCTGAAGGAAAGGGATGGGGGTGGTTGTGGTTGTGTGCTTTTGCAGAGGACTGTGACCCGGTGCCCATCGGACTCGGAAGAATCCCTGGGCAGAACTATCGCAATAATCTGCTTCAGTTCCTGCACCAAAGTTTTTGTTACTGGCTTCCACTTTAGCAGAGTCACTTACGTTTACATCTAAAGTCATCATACTTATTAATGTACCCAACTCACAACCTGAATTGGGGAACCTTTTTCTTAGTAGTGCTAATCTAAAATAGAAGTATTGACAAAAAAAAAAAGAGAAAAATAGGTGGAAAGGTGGGCATTGGGGTTTTAGAAGAACATAAGATGAATTGAAATAACTGTTTTAGAGTAGAAAAAGCTAGGGGAAAAATGCTAAATAACTTCAGGGCAAAGGGGATTTGAAACCTAACATTGCAATGCCACATTAAAAGCTCAAATATTTTTGATCTTTGAGATACTGAAAAAAAGAGGTAAAAATAGCATATGCAAGTGTTAGTATATTAAATTTCTTAAGTAATATGACCTTAAAATATACTGTCTTCTAGCAATTTAAAAGCGATTTAAATCCTGTTTAAAAGCTCTGAAGCTTTTCCCTCAGTTCTGAGGCAAGAGAAGGGAGGTGTATTTAACAGGCATAATATTATAAATTAAAATAAAAGCATGAGATGGTAATTGAGGATTAAGTATATTTTAAAGCTTTAAAATATTCTTGATAGAATGCGGTATTTTACTTAAAATATAAATTATGGCATTTTTAGCAAGATGTGCAATGTGTGTGTGGTTTTCCTTTTTAGATATCTAAAGTGGTTTGGCTGCATATCCCATACTTCAGAAAAAAAATGTTCATAAACATGTTCCTCAATCCATGTCTTCCTTAGCCAGGGTAGACAGGGGAACGAATAAATGAGCTCTCCTGTGTTATGGACTTACAAATTGACTCCACCCTCATGACAAAATTTCAAAAAATGTCACTTGACCCAAAAATAAAACCTACTTTAGAATGGATCAGCTCCTTCAAACTAAGATAGCCTCTCTTAAATTGCATGTATCAAAAGTATTTCTGTGTGTGTTTTTAGGGCACTAAGATAAGACTGCACCTCTGTTAAAGTGAGAGATGTGAACAGATGGTGCGTTTGTCTTTATCCTTCTATCGGATTAGTATACCTTGGATTTTTTTCCAAGATAGTGTTTTAATACAAATCAGTTGAAGAGCCTCTTACTATAATGTTGACGTTGATTGGGATGTGCTGCCATCTGTTTTCAGTGCTCTGCATTTTGAAAACATCCATCCCTACATCACGTAGACAAATCTCTTGATCTTTAATAGGATCAATAGGGATGTGAAGTTGTTGGTTTGATGTCACTGAAGAAACTGGTATGAACTGATTATTTTTTAGGAGAACCTTTTGGGTATTTGTCGTTAAGAATTCGCGCTAATGGAAAATAGCGCAACCCTCTTGAATTAGGGGAGTCTTACTGTGAAGATAATGAGGAATTAAACCAATTGTTAAACTGACTGTGATTTATGCCAGTAATTAGGACTATGGTGACCTGTCGTCTCTGAACTATTTTTAGTTGACACTGAGTTTGAGCTAGACTCAGACTTCTAGTTGCGGAAGAATTAGCTGTGGAGGTCAGTGGGATGTCCAGGTTCAAGGGTCTGGCTTTATCTACATGAACAGATTTTTTTTCTTTCATGCACAAAGGATGAAGATCCCAAATCTTGAAAGGTGGTCCCTCCTAAGAAAACACCTTCTAGGTTTTCAGTGCTGTTACTGGAAGGATCTAGCAATAAAAATCTGATGATACGAAATGCCTATTAGTCTCTAACTGAGAAGGAAATAATTTCTATGTTCCACACTCAGCAGGAGGTGTGTTAGACAACATCGCTTATTCTCATTACTGGTGTTAAGGTTGCCAAACTATCGATTTTTATGCTTTTTATTGGAAATTATCTAAGTACAGAAGGAAGGTAGAATGTGGAAAATATTAATTGCTCTTATTATTAATTGCTCTTATTATTAATTGCTATCTATAGCTACTGCAAATCTCTTCTGGAGTATTATATAATGAATATATCTACAATACCCTATTTTCTGCCAAAATGAACCTTACAGTAACATTAGTATGACTGATGTAGAAATAGTTTAGACTTGGAAAATACTAGATTTCAAACATTTAAAGTCCTTGGTTTTGTTGTTGTGGAGAATCATTCTGACTTACACTAATTTTTCAAAGTCTTTTGTGTTCTCACTGGAAACTTTAGTCCTGGCTTTTAGGAAAGAACTTGCTTCTGATTTAATTTAGAATGAGTTTGGGGTATTCTAGCATTTGAGATAATAAAACCTGAAATGAAGCTAAACTTGCCAAAACCTGATGGAAACAGCAACAGGAAAGACTGTGCTAATTCCCAGGTTTGAAACTTGGCACTTTGTACACTGTGTGACAGAGACTTAGTTCATCTTTGATGTTTGATCTCTATTAAGTACTTCTCCTGGTCAAACGTGACTCAAATCCTATTTAAGAATGACGTCCTCATGAATTAGTCTGTTTTGGTTTTTCTCGCTGGGCATTATGGGAGTCATAAGCCTATGCGGGGTTACGCTTGTCTATATAACCCAGTTTCCTACTTGGACAAAGTAGAAACTGGCTCCTCTGTCTGACTTGCTGGATTTATCACCCTGTTTTGCCTAAAGATGGTGCTGGATGTGGAAGATACAGCTTACCTGCTAAATAATGCAGTGAGTATGCAGAGGGATGAATCTCTAAGGAGACATAAAAGCGGAAAGTTAATGTTTCAATGGAGTATAGTTCAGATAGCAGCGATGCTTGGCTCACCCAACATACAAGTGGAGGGGGGATCTTGATTCATTGCTGTAATGTAACTTAAAACTGATGTAAGTGTGTAATTGCAAGGAAAATAGGTGAAATGTGGAATGGTGTTGCCTAGCATCCTTGTTTTCAACAAAATGCGTGGTGTATTCCATGTATTCCAATTAAGGAGCTGAGATTTAGATCAAATTACTACCTCAGATCTCTGAAGAACTTTTGGGTTTTGCTTTGTAAAGGTGTTCACAGAGGCTGTACGCTCCTGATTTCTACAGCATAATTTTTAATAGATTTGAACTTAACTTGGACTTTGCCTCTGGGCATTACTGCACAGAGCAACTCAAGCAAGCCCGGCAGCAGCAGACAGTACACTGTACTGCATGGCTTGGGTATCTGTGTCCTCTACAGCAAATAAAGTGTTCTGGTGAAATGCTAAGATGGGCTACTAACTATATACTGCCTTGACTGTTCTGTGAGTGTAACGGTACTGTAAGTAAGTGTCATAAATAGCTGTTTTGTGATTCCCTTTAAACGTGTTGGCAAAATAACAAATTGTTTATCCCCAGCTGAAGTTCAAGTGCAAAAGAAACAAAAAACTCTTCCGTATGTTGTGGATGTTAGTACGACCCGATTCACATCTAACTTACATAGACATCCAATAAATAGAAGATGGTGCTTGGGGGGGATCTTTGATTTGATAATAAAGGTGTCTTTGATTTGATAATAAAGATGTCCTTAGCTTTAAGATCATTATAGTACTAACTCCTGTTATGTCAAATAATAGCAGTATGCTTCTTACTGTTGTTTCTCTGATAATCACCACAACAATGTTGTGGATATGCTGCTCTATAGCAAACTTTAGACAGTTGGGTTTATGCTTAGGTCTATACATAGCAAGCCATAAAGCTAACACACGTGGCTGTTGTGTTTATTGGGGAAGGCTACTGTAATCACAAGGCCCCACAGTGTGATAAGTCTTTATGGCGAATACAGGCTACTTAATACTGCTTTCTTTGGGGAATAGAAGTTATTTGCTGAGTTTAAGTCCTTTTCCTAGAAAACAGAAGTATTTTACCTTGGCAGCTTGCACTTTTGCAAATGTTGACAGTCATAGTTGTAAACTATTGTTATTTTAGGTGTCATTGCACCGAACTGCTTTCTTTTTTTTTTCTTATGCTTTTAATGAGGTTAAAAACTATTTAACTATTCCCTCAGCATCTGGTTAGAGCTAGCAGCTTGAGTGCTTCTGTAGTTTTCTGTGGACTGGAGTGGGTGACAGCCGAATGTCAAACATTAGCAGAGAGCCCCTGCCGTGGGGGAGAAGGGGGTGTGCTAGCACGGGAATCGACCCGGGGATGGGGCAGGACCTGTGCCCGTGGTCAGACAGAGGTCTGCTGCAGCGAGGCACTTGGACCAGCCCCTAACAGATCCCTCCTGTTCTTTGCCAGGAGCAAGATGTGGAGACTGTGCACGGCTCGGTCCGTGTCACCATGTGCGGGACTCCCAAAGGGAACCGGCCAGCTATCCTCACCTACCATGACATCGGGCTGAATCGTAAGTACTTTTTATTTAATAGCGCAGACATGGCCTGGTTCCTTAACACTACTGCCGTAATCCAAGGTGTGGAAGCGGCGATGGTTAGGAAACCTCTCCCAGGTCCTTGCTTGTTTATGTGCATTGCAACCTGTTAGATGGTACCTAATTCCTCTCTTACAGCAAGCTTAATTCTCACATTTTTTATCCTCGCAAAGTAAATAATTGGAATATTTCACTTAAAGGAGCAGATGATCTCTGGTAGCTCATAGTGACCGTATATAAGTGCTGTAAAAACATCTATAGGGGATGGCTGAGGGTATATTGCCAGCAGGATTGAAAGCAACATTGCTGGTGCTTTGTCTTAGGTTCCTGTCTGATAACCAGTCCTACGCTGCCGTGGGTTTATATGAATTACATGTCAAATCAGGATGACGAAATGAGTGCTGGCATTGTGTCCTTAGCCAGTATTAAGAAAATAACTTTGATAAGTGTCTTTTATCTTATCTGTCATATCCAAGAATATAATGACCTAATATCCCAGATCTGCTCTAATTTCTTCTTTTCACCAGTAATGTTTGCTTCACACAATTTACTATTTCTTAATCAGTTATCAATATTCACATTTAAAAACACCTGCAGATCTTTAAAGTCTGGGTATTGCTGGCAGGCAGATATTATTCATAAGAAAAAAAAATCTGTTTTCTTGCCTGTTTTTTGTGGAACTGCCTTACTTTATTTTGGATTTTCAGTGGATCAGGGCAGAACTTAATCTGGATCTCATCTTTGAATAAGACTTTTTTCTTTCTAGAGTTACAAAGTCTATCTTTATGGTGAATAAACTTTCTCTCCCTTTGAAAGGGGAGGAACCTTTTCCCAAACTTGCATATTCTCCTAAAGCTGATTTTAGCTAAAAATGTTTTCTATTCTGCAGTGATTTTACTTGTATGTTGTGGTGTGAGGACATTCAGAAACACGCACAGAATACTGAACTGTTTTCCAGCCATCTCGAAGATAGATAGTGCTACAGAATTTATGCTTTCCACTCCAGGAAGAAAATATGCTAACCCTCTCCCCACATTAATATTGCTTAAAAATCAGCAATCAAATCACCTCAAGTTGGGAGCTTACAGCATTGAGTATCCCAGAAGGATGCTTTTGTCTTGAGCTGCCCGCAGCAGCCGATCATGTAATGTTTATCTTGTAATGTTTGGGCAAAAACACAAGTCACGATCTCAGCCTTGGATACTTTTTTCCTCCATCTGTTTTGACACAGTCCAAAATAAAATGACTGGACAAGTAAATGGATAATTTCATCTAAGCCAAAACCTGGGATGAATGCTCCTGACTGCATTTTATTAGTATTTTAACTTTGCATAAAGAATATTTTTTTTTTTTATATTTTGCTCTACCAAGCAAATACTTCTGGCAGGTACCAAAGTAACATGGATAAACCTTAGCTGGCTATGAGGAAGGAGCTGGGTTTTTGCTTCAAGGAATTAAAGCAAGTTGCCACAGGTTGCTTTGTAGCAGGGCTTTACTGGTCTTTCCTACTTAGAAATAAGGGACTGCCACTTTTCACAAGCTATAACATAGCTCACCTGACTGAACCAACTTTTCATTAACCTGCAGAACAGGTTAATAAATTATTTTATTATAGCTGCAAAGTTACTATTTCCCCTCAGCACAATTACTCCCTATTTTCTTTTCCTTCTCAAGACAAAACTTGCTTCAATCCTCTCTTCAACTTTGAGGATATGCAGGAAATCACCCAGCACTTTGCAGTCTGCCATGTGGATGCACCTGGTCAGCAGGATGGAGCACCGTCTTTCCAAGCTGGGTGAGTTGTCAGGGAAACAGCCCATGCTTTCAGAATTATCCTCTTTCTGGAAAAAAAAGTCTTGATCTGCAGTTTAATTAAAAAGCACTTGCAGCAAACACAGTAGTTGGCTTTTGAACTAAATCCTGACTCTCTTTTTCTAAGGTACTGGAGCTCTGGAAGCTCTGTTGTGTTGTGTCAGTTCACAGTAGACTTTGGGGCTGTAGTTTTGTGTTTTATCTCTGATAAAAGGCTGCTTGTAAAGCAGTTCCTTTACAGATGTCTACATCTGTCAATTTAAATATCAAGTTACCTTGTTTTGTAATGACATCCTGAATATAAACACAAAACTAAATTGTTACTATAAACAAGATAGGCATTAGCCACTATATAATGTCCTTCCATGTTTTTCACGAAATGGCAGCATGGTAGATGTTGATAAGTAGTCTTGATAACCTACCTGGAAAATCCAAGTTGTTGGACAGTAACAAAGTGATGTAGCCCCACAGAATATCATAGATAGCATCATACAGCATAGTATGATGCTGTAACTCTTGGAAACCTTGTGTGCCATGAGCACTGTCTTTGTGAAAATGCTTGTCCCGTTTAGTTCAAATGAGACAGGTTTTCCTTAAGATGCCCCTTGGATAGGAATCAGCTTGGTTGAGGAAGGGAGCAGCCAACATGCCGAGGCGAGGGTACAAGGCAAGGAACAGTTGTTCTGTAAGAACTAGGTATTAAGGAGCTTATACGTACCCTTATTGCATGAGCCAGCCTATTTCCCTTCTTAATTTTTAAGCTGGTCTGATGCTGAGAAAGGTCACGATGGGCCAGGTTCTCAGCTAGCGTTAACTCCAATGGCCCAGTTGTCTACCAGAGCAGCCTACAAAGCTATTTCGGTCACCCTCCTTTGTATTTGTTTGAATCACGAGCTTTTAAGTGTCTTAACCCTCATGTCTTGAACAAGCGTTAACACTTCCGAGTTGTCAGCTGCATAGGGCATCCGTCATGATCTATGCTAGTAAAGACCACTGCTTAATAACATCATGATGACAGCACAAGGAGCTGTATTACCTGTCCCAGCCCTCTAGCTGGGAGACCAGCTCAAGTTAAAAGTCACAGCTGTTGCAGTGACACTAGCTTTTGTCGTGACAAGGTTTAGTTTCCCAAAAAGAAAATCTAAGAAAATAACTTAAAGTACTTTTGCACTGTTTGTTTTTTTGTTTGGTTTTATTTTGGAGACTAAACTGAAGAATCATTAGGTGTAGTCCTGATGGGAAGCAGAGATTTGGATGCATCCTAGGCAGATGTTCTCCAGCTACTTTGGGTGGATTTTTTCCATGTGCTGCTCAGCTGAGATTTTGCTCAGAATTTCCTTCCCTCAAAATTTTGTGTCTGCTCTGCAGAAGACCAGGAGCATTAACTGACAGCTGTTTTTATTGAACTTCCTCAGCAGCTTCATAGCCCTTCCTATGCCTTCATTTTCTCCATCAACATTAATAAAAAGCGATCCTCATTTATCCTATGGTAATTTGTGTGTTCCTGAAAACATGCATGCAAATTATTTCCCAAAGATCTAGATCTCATTGCTGTAATCTGTGATTGTGCAACACAGGGAAACTTTTTTGTGGTGGACCAGAAGTACAAATGTGGTGAATGTGGCTGGAAACTCACCTCTCAAGTTCAAAATTTTTCATAAGTTTTAAGTGTTAACTTTTCTTGGAAGAGATTCATTATGGTCTGTTTTGCTCTCACCCAGACCAGGTGTCTGTCATCCTGTAACTCACATAAAGTACCGTACAGATTATGCTCATATTTCTGCTAAATTACTTACTTGTGCTTGCTCCTGATTTAAATTCAGCTCATACTGTCAATGATCTCGTAATGAGCACATTTGGTATTAAATCTACAGTGACCGCTGTGTCTCTAAATATCCAGCCTACTCTACTGAAAGTGGTGTAGTAACTCCACAAACACATATTTGTTGTAGGTACGTGTATCCCTCCATGGATCAGCTGGCCGAAATGATTCCCGGAATCCTGAAACAGTTTGGGTGAGTGCAGAATTATTTACTTATTCCCCTCATTCTTCTCCCTACGTGGCACACTGAAAGAGCAGGGCAGAGCAGGTATTTGCCTATGCTGCCCCTGAAGCTTCGGTCTGGCTATCTGGCATTTTGTTTGCTAGAATTATGGTGGTGGCTGGTTTTAATGCCTCTGTTGTAGATGGATCGCTTCTGCCTTTGTTTCTGAAGGAGCTTATTCTTTGGCCTTTTTTGAAATGTCTGTTTATTTTTAAACAGGAAGCGAGTTTGAGTGAAATCCCGTGTGCCTAATTTAGGGGCTTCCTCCAGTATTTTCTATGCGTCGCCCTCACAGGGGCAGGGCACAGACAATCTGTTCTTCCCACTGTAACAACCCACGTTTTCCTGTGTGGTTAGCAGAAAAAAAACACGTGGTCCCATCTGAAGAACTTACTGTTTTGTTTCTGTGGCTTGAGTGTCTTAGGGGGTCAGTCCGACCTCCTTAAGCCTTTCCTACTACCAAGTGCAGATGCCAGATGGCCGATGTTGAAGGACCTGGTGGCAGTGTTCCAATGTTGTCTACCTGCAACAGGTTTAGGTGTGTGTCCTCCCTTAAAGCTTAGCTTTAGCAGCAGCTGTAGCTCAGAAAGGTACCTTCTCTGCAGAGTTGGTGCTCCTGGTACACGATGAAGATTGCAGGTAGGCACCTCCAAGGGCTTTTCAGACCAAGCAGAGAAAACCTGGCATTCGGGGTTAGGCAGCCTTGGAGAACAGACAGGCTGGACTGCTGGCAGGGGTTTGGTCTCAGGCTGGCCCCAACTTAGACGTTGTTCGGCTGTTGTAACGAGCTCTTGCAATCCCTTTGACCAGTTTACCTCGCTACCTTCTTAAGAGATGTGTTTTTTGAAGTGCCTGATACAAGGCACAGTGTTGCCACTTCTGCTCTTGTACTGAAAAAAATGCTAACATAACGTCAGTACCTTGAGAATCAATTAAACTGGAGTGTACTTACAAAGCCTCGATTTAATACTGCTAATGAGAATGAAATCTACCCTCAGGTATTTTCCTAAAAGCATTGTATAACCTGTTTTTCTGAGTGGTTTTGTCTAGTCTTCCCTTCCATGTATTTTCTAAGACCTTGAAGGTGATGCTTTAAAACCAATTTCAGTTAATGCAAATATTTGGTTTGTCTCTGCCCTGTTTGGTTATGAAGTTTAAACTTAATCGCCCCTTTGACTGGATAGCGTGAGAGGTTTCCCTGCCAGCCCCCCGTTAGAGAGGAACCAGCGTCCCAGTTGGGTAGCTGTATCGTGGAGGGCAGGGGCAGCCTGGGGAGGGGGGAGCTTTGTATTTCAGATTTCGGGACTGTATCTTGTAAGTTTTTCTGGCAGAGAGTAACTATTTCCTTCCAGGATCAGAACAATACTATGGTTGCTCAGTATATTTACTTAAGATAAGTGAGAATTGCTGCTGCCCTGCAATGCATGAGCACCAGTGTTCTGCAAATCTGCGGAAAACAAACCGGCTGCTACCTCGAGCTCCTTACTGGGGCCGGTGGCATTGCTGAGGGTCCACGGTTTACCCGAGCTGCCACCCACCCTTCTGCAGATAAACGCTGGCGTGTGGAAGAGGAAGGCTGCTGATGCGGGTTTATCTAGTTTCGGTGCTGTCTTATTCATTCGTCTCTTCCGTTTTATTGCTGTGCAGGCTGAAGACCATTATAGGAATGGGAACTGGGGCCGGTGCCTACATCTTAACCAGATTTGCTGTAAGTTTCGTGGAGCTTCCCTAAAGCCTTGAACCTGTTTTCCCTGACGTGTTGTCGGCCCCGTAGCGTGTGCAGAGAATTCCTGCTCTGCCGTGCCCGTTTAAGTAAGCAGTTAGGCTTTTAAGTGAAATACCACAATCTGCGGGATAGCTAATCCAGAAGACCCAGGTTTTCCATTTTAAGGCCTGGGCTCTACCCAGTTAATTTGCAGAAGGTTTTTTTAATGGGAGTTCTCTATTTAAACTGAGGGTGGAGAAGAAGTTAAATCTTAATGTTCTCCAGCTGCTCAGTTGAATTGCTGTAATGAAAAATTTTTTTCCATACATACGCTTGTTTTGTGCAAGATAAAACTAGACCTACCGCCTTCCTCCCCAGGAGATAATTTGCTAATTTAGATTTTATGCTGACTGTCAACTTGCAAAGGATACGCGATGAATCTTAAGTCGTTTCTTTTGCAGTTAAACCACGCGGAGATGGTGGAGGGATTAGTTCTCATTAATGTAAACCCTTGTGCTGAAGGTTGGATGGACTGGGCAGCAACTAAGGTAAACATTTTTAAGTTAGAAAAATAAATCATACTGTGAGCCTGTCGAGCATGAGGAGCTGGGCAAGCGTGTGTGTCAAGGCATGGCTGCAGACACAAAATATCCCAGGCTAATTCCTTTGGGGTTTATTCTTCCATTTGCAAACATACCTCCTGTAGGGCTAGTGATAAAAATAAGTACTTCTAGGAAACAGATACCCATGGTATAATGGAGCTACTGGGTATGGGCAATTCTTAAGAGCTAGTAACGGCTGGGGAAAACCTGGTTTAACCTGGACACAGGGTAGTTTTGGAAACAACTTTCTTTCAAGTAAACTTCAAGCGTAGTGTAACATTCAGTTCTTTCTCGTCCATGGCTTTGTTTACCAGCACAGTCCAAAACTAGAACTAGAGCACAGAAGAACGTTCAGAACAACATCTTCCAGGTTTCAGTCATCTAGCTGAGTCTTAGATGCCCAAAAGACTCAGAAAAGGGCATTAGCTACAGTAACTGTGGACAGATTGTCCATACAACCAGACTTCTAAGTGAAAATGTTCACATACAAAGAAGCTCCTGTTAACTGCATTCTTTTGTAGTTGTAAGAAAGATTGCAATGTGGGAAAACAGGCGCTGAGAACTGGTTTCAAAAATCTTCCTGGAACCAGTAGATATATAAATAAGTATAAATGTTACATTACATGTCACTCAGATTTAACCTGTTAAAACATTTTTCAGGGTAAACTGATGGAAGGCACTTTGCATCATTCAGGGTCATGTTTAAGTGAATGGCAGTTGTTGTGGACACTCTGAGAAGTACAAAAATTAGTGCGTCATCTTTTAACCACACATAGAGTCAACCCACTGTAAGTGTCTAGGGTGATATTAAATGTAATGACAACCTGATAATACTAGGAGAAACTTTCCAGAGCTGGGATGTAACATTCTTTCAAGGCTTAGTTACTCATTTTTTTAAAAATAATTTTGCATACCAGTTTATTTTGTTAAGTTTGATCTGGAAGTATATTTAGTAACTCTTCTACGTTGAGATGTACCAGTTGACCTATTTTGATTATCTCACCCAACGTCTCACTGTAATTAAACTCTTCCATATCTGTGCCTCTGCCTTCCACCTCTCTTAAGTATTGCTGACCTTAGGAGTGCAGCGGGTGCCTTGTATCCTTCTGTCCTTCCAAAGCAAGAGCACGTACTCTGGGACGTGAGCATTAGGTACCGGCTCCAACGTATTGTCAGTGGGGGTTGTTGGGGAGGAGATTGGGCAGTGAGGTTAAATGACACCCATCTGGTTGGTTTGCTTGGCGTTCTTGCGGGGAGTGATTCCATATATACCTATGCTACTAGTAGTGTGTTCCCTATATAACTGCATTAGTAAAGACATCTTATGAGAATAACTCAAACGTAAACAACCCCTAATGGTGTTTTAGTTGATTGAGGGGAAAAAAAAAATCAGTCCAGGATATCGTACATATAAGGACAGCAGAGAAACATCCATTGGTCTATTTATGGATAATTGAAAGGCTTCAATTGTTCAAGGATTGTTTTAATATCAGATACTTAAATAATCTCGCTGTTCAGATTTCAGGTTGGACAAATGCTTTACCAGACATGGTCATTTCACATCTTTTTGGAAAGGTAAGGATGTTCAAAAGATTCCTCTGATGTATTCAGTCATCTATATTTACCTCCTGGGGCTGGGAGGAGGGGAGAAGCCTTCACTTAAACAACCAAGTACAAAGTTAAACTGTGAGATGGGATTCATACTTGTGTTCCCAGTATTTTGGAGGTGGTATGCTGCCATGGGGCTTGCTGTGTCCTGATGGCTCAAGTGCATCTCAGTCATGACAACAGTAGTAGCAGCAGCTCCCTGTGTAGACAGCCAAGACTTAAACATGAGTATAAGCGTGGTACGTGCTCATGTTCTGAGCAGAATTACCCCACAGATTTTTTTTATACCGTAATATAATTGTAACTCTGGGAAAGCTGGTTATTAGTACTAACGGTGCTCGTCAGTGCAAGCCTACTTTAATGGCAAGTGCTATACTGTTTTCTGAGGCTACTTTGCTGTGCTTGAAACTCTTAGTAAATGCAATGGAAAACTCCGTTCCAGCAGAACAAGGAACTAATCTATAAAGACTTTAGAACCAAACTGTTTGAAAATGTTAGTGATTTAAGTCATTGAAGCTTAGTTATTTACTGTTGTGAAATTGAGTTCCACATTACATATGTTTGTAAGCTTTCAACATCTGCTTTACCCTGGAAACATTTATTGAGCTTCTTACCCTGAATCTTTGTTTTGTTTTAAAACCTCACACTTGTCTGACTGTAACCATCTGCACTACAACTACATGTTTTGCAGTCGTATGATCTTGACATTACACCATACTGAAGTTTTAAAGCGAAAAATGTGGTACTGCAGTCGGAGGCTAATGTTAATTCTGGGTGACACCGCTGGGTGCTAGAAGTTGTCCCTTCCCTAAAGGTGCACTCCTGTTGTGTAGACATGAGTCCGATACGCGGCTGCTGTGCCACGTCTTCAGATCCTTTCAGAAAATAGCCCCTATTCTGAACGATTCTGTCTCCACTGTAGGAAGAGATTCACAGCAACCATGACCTGATCCGTCATTACCGTCAGCATATTATTAATGATATGAATCAAACCAACCTTCATCTCTTTGTCAACTCTTACAACAGGTAAATACATTTACCTGATTTCTAACTGGAAACTGTTTTAAGAGTCTGTCCAGCTCTTAGAGCCAGTATTACTTGTGTGGTGGAGTTACTTGTGTTCCCTCAGTATAAAGTTCTGCTTGAGAGTGCCTTTAGGGGTCTCGGGAGGTTTGCTTGTGGGAGGAGGACCTCTGGGGTCCTTCTGGGGAGATATATGGTACATTGGGACTGAACTAAGACATTAATACTTCAGGGTAAGGTGGTTCTCCATCAGTTGTGGAGGCTGCAACATGTATCAGATTAAATTAACATATGTGAGTGTCTGCGCTTTCTCTAAACTAGAAGAATACGGAAGTATCTCTAAAATTTCAGTGTATCAAGAGCTTATGTCCTCTCGGTTTTTTTAGTCGGCGAGACCTAGAGATTGAGCGCCCTGTTCCTGGAATAAATGTTGTCACCCTTCAGTAAGTATTTTATTTCCTACCCGTTCACCTGTACACGATATGAGCCAAGAGGTGTGATCAGTGGGTGCGTTGCATATGCACTGCAGAGCTGTAGCTGAATGTGCTTATGTGCTAGAAGAGGATCTTATAACTTTGTCTAGGAGAGAAAGGGTTACTGCAAGTCAGGGGCTGCCATTAGGAAGGCTTCCCCTCTTCAAACTTCAGTCATATTACCTGAAACGGAAAGTTAAGTAGTTCCTGTCACTGTGCATTTGCAAACTTAGGCTTACAGAGTAAGTACTTGGAAAGTAGATGTACTTCCAGCTTCACCTGGAAATATGTCCTAGTTAATGGAAACGATGCCTCTGAATGCACTTAAGTCATGCCTATGCAACCAAGAAAACATAAACAAAACCAATTAAAAAAAAAAAACACCAACAAACGTTCAGGAAGGTGGAGCAGGTATGAGAATGACTATCTGCCAGATCTTCTGCTAATAGCTTTTCACTTGTGCTGCAACTTGTGCAATGAAAAAGTTGTCAAGTCCTTCTCTGCTCAGCTGCTGGTGTTTACACACAGGAGACTTTGAGACTCTGCTCCTCTGCCAATCTGGTTGAAATTGGATGGACAGGTCCAAAAGTCAGAGCTGAGGGGGCAGGGGCGGGTGGGGGTGAGACTTTGATGCTGATGCCCACATTCAGTTTCTTTTAAAAGAAGGAATAAGAGCACTGGGAAGGGCTGATTGCTAGGAGGTGGGGAAGAGGACAGGTTCTCAGGCAAGGTATCAGAGCGTGTCAGTAGATCTGCAGCTAATACAGTGGATTTGGTGTGTGTTTAAGGTGTCTGGAATACAAATCATTTTCACACACTTAACTGTCTCATCCTTCCAGCGACACAAAATGTAGCTTAGGGCAAGTCCAGGCTGGATCACAGAGATAATACCGCTTTTGTGTGCTTCCTTGCAGATGCCCCGTCCTGCTGGTGGTTGGCGACAGTTCCCCGGCGGTGGACGCCGTGGTGTGTATATCGAGCCGTCTTGGCCACCGCGCTAATGGGCAAGCAAGCCAAGAAGCCGCGCGAGGCCGGCGGAGCTCACGCCCGCGCAGCCACCTCGCTGGCTATCGATCCGGCCCAGCTGGCTCTCCTCTTTCAGACCCCGGGAGAGCTGCCATTAATTCCTCACTGTTTGTCCCCTCTGTCTGTGCACCATTATTTAATAGCTGCTGCGTTAGGAACAATCGCCACAGCAGTTCCAGTGAACCGCAAATATTTTCCTTTAGAGAGGAATCTGCTGCTGGTATTTTAGCTTGTTCTGTGGTGTTGGAGCTCTGCCCCGGGTCACTATGGAAGCGAAGAGCTTCTTTTTGACCATTATAACTCGCCCCAGATGACTGGGTGACTTCAAACGTTGTGCCTTAACGGGCATGCCCAGTCTGCTGGCCTGTGGCCATATGGCTGCTCACCACTTGGGATGCTACCAGATGACCCCACATCACAAGATAAACAACACTTGTTGCCACTGGAGTCGCAGAAACAGATTAAAAAAAAAAAATCTCTAATTCCCAGCTAATGGGTTGGTTTCTACATGGAAAAGAATACTGTCACAAATGTGAAGTGACCTACTTGGGTTTGAAGACGTGTACATAGAGTCTTTATGTAGAAACCTAAGATACACACTTCAGTCTGTATTAAGCCAGAAAACAAGATATTTACTGTTTTCACCCAGCAGTTCATAATTAAAATGTTTTGTATAATGCCTTATGCTGCTGTTCTTTAATACAGGTTGAATGCAACTCAAAGCTGGACCCAACAAGGACCACGCTTCTGAAGGTAATAACAAAATTTTATTTTTTTAAAATAAACGTTCCCCTCATTTAAAATTAGCTGGATTAATTAAAAAAGCAGAACCAGAGCGATGTGCTGCAGTACAGATAACACGGTGAGAATCCAGTTCTGACGTGGAAAGGCAGTTTCTTCAGCGTAAAAGTATTTTAGTGGGATAAACCAGACTAGGGGCTTCTTGTCAAGGTTAACAACAGGGCATTTTTCAGCTCCTCCATTTTAAAACACTAGAGGTGAGACTTGAAACTCTCAGTATTTCACATACCCATAATGAATTTGACTAGAGCTGGCAAAATTGATCTCGACGTATTTCGAAAGGTTTGAAAAAGCCATCATCAGAGTGGAAGTGCAAACCAACTCGTTCTGTTCCTGTGCTTGCCTGTCCCCCAACAGTAGTGTCAGATGAATAGACAGCTGATCTGTCAGCCACGGTTTTGTCATCCTGCCTTTTATGTGGACACAGTCCACGACATCTTACTGTTGGAAATGACCCTCTCACTTTCCAAAAACTTGATAAAATGCACTTCCAAACAGCAAAGCATCATGCAAAGGCTTTGGCTGGTACTTGGCATTCAGAATATGGGTGCAATTTTCAGCTCGTTACTGATGAAGTAAAATGCAGTGGGTGTAATAGCATGCAAATGGTGAAACACGTTTGGCCATGCTTCTGCTGGGAACTTACTGTATCTCTCTTTATTGAACTGATCAGTGAAAATTATAATAAACCGATTTTTTTAAATGCTTTTTCCTCCTAACCTTGAGGAGTGACACTGCTGATCCACCACATGGACGTGGCAAACTCACCCTTAGAAAAAATCTGACACTATCTCAGATCCTCTGTCAGTGGCCAGCCTTTGCTCAGCCCAGGGATACGGCTGATGCCAGATCCTGCTACGGGCCTGTTTTGCTGCTAACTAATCCTAGATAGGATTTGGGGTTTCCTGTAATTCACAACTCAGCTGTTTTCAGCTTGTGGTGTTCCTTGGAACAGGCTTGTTGTTGTTGGGTTTGCTTTGAGGGGTGGAGTGGCAGGAAAAGTGAACTGCTCCAAAAATATTGCATGCACTCAAGGTAGCTTTTCTAATTTGGCTTTCCCTGCTTCCCTTGGCGAGTCAGGCTGATGCTTGCCATCCGCAATCTCAGCAAATCATTGTTCCCTCTCACCTCTGAGGTTTAGGTGTTTGTTCTCTCTCCCCTGTTTGTCATTCAGGTCAATACCGAGTCGCGTTATTGTAGTTCAGAGCTGAACTTGTAACCAGGACTAACAGACTAGTTTCTAAGAAACTGGTAATCACTGCCTAGCAAAAAAAACATTTATTTGTAGCTCCAGACGATGCTTTGCCTGAGGGTCAAGACGCGTTGGGGTTTTCTGGGGTGCAGTCATAGCTTTTATAAATGTTTAACTGCTTGCTTTGATGCCTTCATCTACACACGTTACTCACACAACAAAAGGAAATGTTTTTCTGCCAGATAGCTAAAAAAGTCATTTTAGTATATCCTGAGCATAATTGAGTTCCTCTGGCATTACGTTAACTGTCTGTTCTCATCCCCGTTTCAGATGGCTGACTGCGGTGGGCTCCCTCAAGTTTCCCAGGTAGGATTTGGCTGATGGAAATCCTACTAATCCTGTTCTGCAGCATGTCAGACTGCAACAAACGGGTGTTTTCCTGTAGGGTACTTGCTGTTCCCAAATGGCAGCCAAAAGGATGGTTATGATTTCACGAATAATGATGTCAGTCGGTCATCTGAGCTTTCTTTTTTCTTTAAAGACCAATGAAGCGCAAAATTAAGATTGGGAGGAGATATTATTTCCACTAATTAAGTCTTAACCAAGTAAAGGTCTGAGGTGGGAATGCAGAGGTATTATTTTATGCCTATCTACTAAGCTAGCATGGATTAAGGCTTGAGCACTAGTGGTTTAAAAACATATTCTTATTTGGACTATTTATAGTATAGATCAGGAAAGTGGGAGGCAGGAAATAACAACGGTATGTTCTTGCATACACTGACCCGGCTTGACTGAGAATGAACTGGAGTTTCTGAAATATGTTTAGGCATAAATTCCAAGGCTGCTAGTAAAACCAGGCTGGGAAAGTTAAAATTTACCTATGCTCTAGTGTTGCTTCGCTAAAACAGCTGACCTGTAAATCAGCTTTAGGATGTGATGTTTTCTAAACAGATTTCTAGGCAAGATAAGGTGGTGTTCTCGATCTTAAGGAAAAAACTGACTTTGTAATTACCTGCAGCTGAGAAGTCCCTGGACAGGCAGTGTGTGCTCTTACAGTGGGAGGTGGGAAAAGGCTTAAAGCCACAAAGGAGTATGTGCATTGCTCCTCTCTGGTAGAGTCTGTTCCCTGAACTGATGCAGACCAAATTATAACAAAAATATAGGCAACATTTGCAAGGTCAATAATTGAGGTTGAGGCTTATTTGGCCACTGTGTTAGCAGCAGAGAAAAGTAGTGAGTGCCTCATTGCAAGAATGTCACTCATATGCAGTTGTGCTTGTGTATTCCTGCT